TATCTAGTTGTGATACAAAGTAAGCAACGCGTAGATCATCGCGAAAACAAAGCTGACTTGAATATTCAAGGGCAAGTCTAGCGTGAATCCGCTGAGAAAAGTTGTCGCCTTGAGAACAACGCACATATACGAGGTGTGGCTATTAAATAACGAGACTGACGCTGTAAAACATTTTATTTTGATTTCATACATTTTTACTTATTATTACCTTCAATATACACTCCTCCTCTATCCCTACAACGCTCCATGCGAATCTTCCATTGTTCGAAGCAGTGCTGGAAGTCTTCTTCTATCAGCTCCTTCAGGACGCGTGCCGCTTTCTCTTTCACAGCTTCAACGGACTCAAATCTTGTTCCTTTTAAGGCAGATTTCACCTTAGGAAACAGATAGAAGTCGCACGGCGCAAGATCTGGCGAATAAAGCGGATGGTCTAACACTCGGATGCTGAACTTGGCTAGAAACAGACAATGCGGAATGAGCCGGAATTTTAGGCACCATTTTGGCACACACTTTTTTCATGTTAAAATTGTTATGTAAAATTTGCCGTACGGATTCTTTATCAATTCGTACAGTTTCAGCAATCGCACGAATATTTAACCGACGATCAGATCGAATCAGATTACCGATTTTTTCGATATTGTCATCCGTTTTTGACGTGGAAGGGCGACCCGAGCGTGAATCATCTTGAACGTCTTCTCGGTCATCTTGAAAACGCTTAAACCACTCAAAAACACGTGCGCGCGATAAACATTCATTGTCATACACTTCTTTCAATAAATTATATGTTTCACTAGCAGTTTTTCCAAGTTTCATGTGAAATTTCACAACAATTCGTTGCTCTACTGTTACACTTAACATTTTTCCGGCGAAACAAAAAAACAACTCTAATGCGAATGAAGGCTACGGCTATATTGATTTGTTTACAGAAGCGAGAGGCACTGCATTCGAAAGAGAAGGCTTTACGATAACAGCTGTGGCTTGCTGGCGTTTGGCGCATACGCACTTCTTCTGTAGCAGCGTCAGTCTCGTTATTTAATAGCCACACCTCGTAAATCAACCAGAATACCAAAATATACAGTATGGTGAGGTATAATATCGGCCGGCCGCGATATTCGAACATCCGTAGCCACACATGCACATCACAGATAAGAGCGGAGATATGGATGCTTGAACATTTTCTATGATGACTGTAGTTCCCTCGATTAAATTAAGGACTCGATTAAACTAAGGACTCACTCCACGTCAGGGTTATCTTTCGTCTTTCCGTAACACAAAGCGTTCACGTGGTTGGGAAGATAATTCAGTAATAATTTCAGTAATGAATTTCGCCGGCTGTTATGCGGATTAAATGAATCGATCTCAGGAATCGATACATAATTATGTGTTACGCAAGAGTGATTCTCTTCATCCAGTCCTTTTAAAAAGATGAAACGGTCAAGGAATAAACAGTCAGTGGTTAAAGTCGACGAATGGTCGAGTACGTGTTTTATTGTTCACAAAACGCAAAATACAACTTGTGTATCTTCCTGGAAAGCGCAAACACGAGGGACAGGTATCAGCGCTTTTACATACTTCATTTTCGTGTAGTATGTTTAGTTTTCGTTATTCATAAATTGCTCGAAATGGTATTATTGTTTACATATCTCTTGGAGCTACTCATTTGTATTATAATGATGAAAACGGTCATTAATGATGTGAAAAACTAAAACAAGAAAGTTCTTATCTTTTGATATAAAAATATGACATTACTGGAAATATATAAAGCAAAAGTACTAATGCTCTCGGACACATATCTAATTCTGTAGGCCGACCCTTTTCTATCATATATTATATCATCTATTATATCATATATTATTTTTGCGCAACGACAACATAACGATAACGACCCTGTCGTTAAAAGTTACAGTGTCAGTTCATTGGACATTCTTGTTGATTTAATTTTTAAATAAGAACTTTTAAACTTTTAATATAGAATAAATATATGTATTTATTCTACGTTGTGTGTGAGCAAAAATTTAAATATTCGTATTTAAAAACCAAAACTATAAGAACGTCCAGAGTTAAGTACCAGTATTATTAGTGTGCATTACATTATGACACATTTACTTTAAGTTAGACAAAAAATCTCAGAATGAATTGTATGTGTATTTATCAAATATAAGCATACCTTGCGAATGAAATTGTTGCCGAAGTAGAAAAGTTCCATGCCAGAAAATTTCACCTCCCTCTGCTTTATTTGCAGTATAAATTGTAGAATCTGCAATTAAATAGATAGAGTAGGTACAAAATATGAATCGCTTAGGGAATAACTGTTACACAGTACAAGATCTTACGGCGCAACTCACCTGCTCGCGCAAATCTTCACCGATGACGTGGTTTGACAATTTGTATAAAAGCGTGGTCGCTTCGTTCGCCTGAAATTACGTCAATATAATGTCGAAGTCTTTCAACACGTTTTGCGTGGAGATTAAATTTTGCTGCTAAAAATGATAGTTAATATAGATAAGTAAGACTGCCTTGTCGCAAACGGTCTGGCAAATGTGATTTAAAGCGAAAAGTTTCATGGTGAACACTATGGCCCAGACGTAGATGGTAAGGCGTGTTAGGACTTCAATACGTGTATCCGTCTTGTTGTCCGCGTATATATTGTAAAACTCGATAAACAGATCCACTAAAATCGCGAACAAAGAAGCCATCTCTAGTGTTAATTGCAAACTAAACACTTTGTTTAGCTCTCGTGACAATAGGCTCAGCTGCAAATGAATGTGCCTGCAATGAAGCCGTAATTTCCTTTCTAATCCAGTTAATTCAAAGTTTGACATAGTCGAACAACAACTTAAACAACTATATAGAGATTATCGAGAATTACATGATAATCCAGACCCGTCGACTGCACTCCCCGGGTTCTACAACTCTCTTTCGAACGATAATAATGGACGTATTTTTTGGTTCGATGTGTTCCGCGTTGTTTTCCAGCAGATTGCGAATGTGCTTGTTGACTCTCTCAAATCTGGAGCCCATGTATCTGAATTGTACATGTATTTTAGCCAAATTTTATGGAACGGAATATGTAATTTCCTTAAATTTCCAAGCCATTTTTTAAATACGCTTTCCTTGAGTTTTATTAGAGGCTTGCAAAAATGGATGTTCACAATATTTTTTTCGTTAATAATAGAACGAAATAGTATATGCGTTTAATATTAACGATAGTACTTCATATTCTTTGCCACTTTTTGGAAAATCGTCTGATTCCGCATTTATAAAACGACTCTCCAATATCTTTTGAGCCGATAAAATCATGGATGATCCGAGGAATTTTTGCCTGCCCTCTATATTTTCTCACCTTCAATTTCATTATTCGAGGTAATTTTGCGAAAGTATGATACATGTACTAACCCCAGAATAGTTCCCAATATCACGCTGTTCATGGTGTTTACGAGCGGTAGAACATTCTCCATTAACTCAATACAGACATCCATGATGTTAAATTTATCCTTGGTGCTCACAACCAAAACGTCCATCCCATTCAAGAAGTTGCTTGATACAATCCATACAATTATTACTCGAATCATCCACTTGTATAACTGTTGATATTCCTTAGGCGTACCGAGGGCTTCTAACGTGTCGTCCACGATGGAAAGTTTCCGTAGGAACTTTTTCAGTTCCTTGAAAAGACAACATTACGATCGATTACGTGGTACACAAAAGTTGTCGATACGAAAAACAACACAAATATAGACATGAATACACTACATGCTATAATAATTTCAGCTGCGTTATCAACTAAAGAATCTGTTTGTTTCCTAAGAATCCGATCAATCTGAAGCGAACAATTCAAAGTAGTCTATACCTTGAAACGAAACAGGTTGCCTATCATTGACCCAAACGAGGACATTATGATTATTATACTAGTCCAAGATATAATAATGTGTGTCTCAATGTTGATAGAGTAAACGATATATGTATAGATGCTCCAAAAGATCAGGAAGTACAGGCAAGTGAAATACGGCCTGGGTCGTCCAAGTGGATACTCAAAAACGCACAAGCCGCAAAACGCGCCGATGATAAACAACGGCGCCAATGCCGCTTGGATCGTTTTCACCATGGTCGAATTACTGCAGAATCCGAATTACATTTCGCCATGCGACACGGGAAACACTTGCCGCGATGAAGGATCCTCTTTCGCTTCTTGTTGTCGTTACACGACAAACTTTCCGAAAGGTTTGACCAGGAATTACACCGCGACATACATTGACATCGCCATCTGACTGGCGAGTATTGAGCACGAGAACGAGCGAACATATGATTAGATAGCATTTTTCTTGCAGAATTACTAGTTTTATGCATGCAATTTCATAACGTTTAAACGACAAGTGAGCTTGATGGCGATATCGCTCAGTTTCCGTGCTGGGGCTCAGGTATATTCAGCTTGTCGATATGGGGTGACATGTGCATCGCGAATTGCAGGACTCAAAGAAGGCGGCGGGAGCACAATAAAACGTCGTAAGTCGATTTACGCTGTTAATCGCGCGAATTTCGTCGTTGTAATCTCCGCGGATTTGTGTACTAAGTTTCAACGGAACTTCAACACTTGCCAGGCCAAAACTCACTAATTCTTCTAATAGTTTTCGTCGCATGTAGATATAATACGATAAGATACTCCAAGCTCTATTCAACGACAGATTAGCCGAATAATCAATCATAATATTATATACCCATATTCAGAGACGATGCAAACTGTTAAAAAGTGTAATGAGTTTTGGTTATTTGAAAGTTTTGCTGAAACGCAGTATACATTGGGTATTTGTATAATTACCACCGTCATTATAAGCGAAATTAATTTACGTTTTATTATTTTTCGAGTTATTTGGTTTTTCCTTTACCATGAGAATGGGGAAAGAAAAGAGACGTTGAGCTTGTTTGATTTTTTCTTACGGAGGAAAAGCTGGTATGTAATAACGTATTGTTGCATTTTATTATTGGTATGGTATATCGTTAGTCTGCGATACAGGATTGGTGACAGGATGAATATTATGTCATTCCTAATTAGAGCACGATCGTAAAAAGTGATTTTTACACATTCTTACGTCCTCATTAGAATAGCTCTTTCGAAATATTGTTGTTTATCTTCGACCGCGGATCATTATACTCCTGTAACTCTGGAGACCATTGCACTGTGAGCATCACGAAAGTTGCAACCACCGTGCAAAACTAGAATGTAACGTATTAAGAGCTTAAGAATACAATTTATTTTCATTGCGTGCTATGCGTATTAGAATATTATCACCATCCGTCGTTAAACAAGTTAGAATGTGGAGATTGATACGTGGTATATGCGATAAAAAGGGTAGTGATTATTATACGATAACGGGGATGAACTTGAAAGAACAATTTTCCTAATCGAAATTTATGATATGCGGCATGACCAACGAGTGAACGAGGATAGACGAGGAAGTAACAAGGTGGAGACTAACCTTCCAGAGTAACTTGCTGCCAAAACAAAAAAGCTTCAGACCGGTGAACTTCAGTGGATGATGCATCGTTTGCAAAATTAATTGGCAAAGCTGCAAACAGGCACAAGAGCGATTTACAAACGTGATCTCTTACAAACGCATCGCTTGTGCTTCTCGCTTATTTAAAACTAATCACTCACCTCCTGATGAATATCGGCGTATCGCAGAATAATTGTCAGCTGATGAATTGTCTCGCTAATTTTGTTAGCCTGAAAGTAGGAAATGAACGTCGCTACTACATCAACACTATATTTTTTCCGAGAATCGCGAGCGTGATATTACCTTAACGCTGATACTCTCGCAGATGTGATTAACGGAATAGAGTCTCATGATGCATATGGAGGTTAATATACCGTTGCCGAGCCAAGCCCTTATTGGCATGCCTTTTCCACTGAGCAGCATTATGCAAAAATTAAAAGCCAGTGCTGTTAAAAATAAGAAATAGGTCAACATCTCCAAAGTCATCTGCGTTCCGAATATCAGGTTCAGTTCACGTGCTATGCGACATAATTCTAGCTGAAGATGCCTGTTGAACAAATCTCGTTATGGTAGAAATCGCGAGAATATCGTAGAAGAAGGACTGTATCGTACAATCAATTATTTTTCAAATTGGAATAGAATGTCTTATCGCGTGTTTAGTGTTATCATCAAGTCAATAATTTATACAAGCACTCAAGTGTACCGATTTACATTGAGGTCCACAAAATTCGCTTGTAATTATCGGCATACAAGGTATGTCGGTAAACAGCAATCACTGGTTTCTTCCACCTACACCTCAAGCCATGCTCCTCGCTCACCAGCAGACCTCGTACATTTTCGTTCAGTTTGTCGAATCTGGTGCCTATATACCTGTGTTGCGAGGCATATCTAGAATATTACAGAATGAAATCTCTTCGATTCGGAAGCGTACGGTAAATTTCGACAGGACGAATAAATAAAGTCGTTTCTTTTGTTATTAAACGAATATATACCGCAGAAATTACGATTAAATGAGCACAGAATTGACTAGACAAATTGTAGTTACTGTGCACAAACCACATGAAGAAGATGAACATAAAGTCGACGAATAGGTTGACGTGAAAACAATGATTTAACACATGAGGTATGAGATACGCCCAATTAGACTGCGTTACACTCCACCACCAGAAGGAATCGTAAGTATTTGTGAAGAATATGTACACGACCCATCCGGCTACCACACGTTTCGACCACATGTGCATCTCTTGGTACATTTTCGGAATGCCCAACTCTTCCAACGTGTCGTCCACAGCGGCGAGCTTCTTCATGCACGTTCTTAATTTCTGAAACGTTACATGAGATGCACTTGAAGAGGGGAAAGATCACTTTAAAGATATCACTAAGAATTAAATTTAATTATTTCTCCTTTGTCGACGCGAATTTCTTCTTTTTGCGAGTTCTGTGCTCTTCAACGACGAAGTTTGCCTATCGACAAGCGTCTTTGTTCGGAATCACTTGCATGGGAGAGGTTTTCACTCCAAACAGCATTACTATCCTCGGATATCGCGGAGTTAACTCGCTGACACGCTAACAGTCCGACATTGTTGTTGCATGTTGGCATTACACGATCATACCTTGTCATAACATAGGCCGATGATTACGGACGTGAGCGTAATGAGCATATTAATCGCACGCAAGACCATCGAAACTGTTGTTCGAAATGTCTTGTTCCATGTAAAAAACACCATTATTAAGTAACAGAAGCAGCCGTAAGTACACCACAGCATCAAAGAATATAAAGTGCTGAAACACGGCTTCACTCGATTCGTAGGATAGAACCCCAAGCCTATAATAAACCATGTGACGAGGAGGGGTTTTACGCCCTGTTGGATGGTAGTGGACGTGGCCATCGTCTGCCGCAAACTAACAACGTATGTCCGTTGAAACTCCCATTTGCCGTACGCATCGCTCTGTGTTACGTCGACGCGATACGAAAACACGAGTCCTCGTAATCACAATGTGTTCGTTGCAAAAAGCACTTACGCATATTAAAACAATTGATCTATCCTGATGAGAGAGATCATTTGTTATTGAAATTATCCTTCATGCCGTTATTCAAACGACACTTATTGAAATGCCGCCGCTAACGCGGACGTATTGTTTGTGAACAGAAGCTTTATTAGACAGAAGCTTCTTTATTATCTATTTGGAATAATTATACAGTGTTTTATGCATACGCACGAAATTATAATTATTTTACTGAACTTTGTTTTTATTTCATTTGCTTGATTGCAGCTATTATTATGACCGTCGTGAAACGTAGTACAAATTGGAAGAAATTGTCTTTTCACACTTAGAATTTTGTAACTTAATATAAATAAATATATATATACATATGTGTGTGTGTGTGTGTGTGTGTCTGTGTGTGTGTATGCCTGAAAAGTAATACAGACTACATGCATAAATTTGTAGCCGAAATTGGAGAATCAGAACACGGATATCGTTAAAAGCTTTTGCAGTAACTGTATTAGACATTGCGTAATTAAATATATATATAGTTTGGCATAAGCAGGCATTTATGCGTCAGAATTGTGTCTTACATTTTGCTTAATCTCTGCATCGAGAGTGAGATTCGATAATCTGCTGAGAAATACTTCGCCACCATTCGCCTAATATTAACCGAACTTATTTTATAATTATATAATGAATTATATTAAAAAGTTATATATGCACATTAAAAAAATTATATATTTAAATTAAAATATGCAAATTACAAAGAATAATGATTTTTAAGATTTTTAAGATTTTGAAGATTGAAAGGATCAGATGAAATTTTATATTTTTATATCATTTAATGGTTTAAAAAGATAAACAACAAATTGTCGGTATGGCTTAATTGTTTTCAATATGCCTTTCTGTACAAGGAACAAAAATATCTTAACACAAAGTTCATTACAGACGTAATTAAAAATGAATTTTCTGATGAACTAACTGCAAAATATCAGCGCTATGTTTATCACATCATAAAACGCGTTCACATATAGCGAGTAGTTCATCATATATGGCATAGACAAATTGAGTGGCAGTTGAGTTGGCACAATACGACCCAAGAACCATAGATTGTCGATAGCATCCATCGCAAGAATCAAGCCGTTTCATCAGATAAATAGCCGTAAAGTTCTCACGCGCAATTTCGCGTAATCTTTTGGCGTTCCGAGCTTCTTCAACGCGTCGTCCACGATGGAAAGTTTTGGTAGGAACGTTTTCAGTTTTTTTAAAGGACAATATTACAATCGATTACGTGCCGTGGTACACAGAAGTTGTCGATACGAAAAATAACACAAATGCATACATCAATACACTACATGCTACGATAATTTCGACAATTTCCAACTAAAGAATCCCTCTGTTTGTTTCCTAAGAATCTGACCAATTTGAAGGGAACAATTCAAAGTAGTTCACACCTTGAAACGGAACAGGTTGACTATCATTGACCCAAACGAAGACATTATGATTATTATAATAGTCCAAGATATAATAATCGGTGTCTGAATGTTGATAAAGTAGAGGATGTATGTGTAGGTGCTCCATAAGATCAGGAAGTATAGGCAAGTGAAATACGGCCTGGGTCGTCCAAGTGGGTACTCGAAAACGCACAAGCTGCAAAACGCGCCGATGATCAGTAACGACGTCAATGCCGCTTGGATCGTTTTCACCATGATCGAATTACCGCAGAATCCGAATTACATTTTGCTGTATGACACGAGAAACACTCGCCACGATGATGGCGGAGGATCCTTTATCGCTTCTTGTTGTCGTTACACGCCAAACTTTCCGAAAGATTTTTTTAACTGGGAATTATATCGCGACATACATTGACGTCGCCATCTGACTATTGAACATCGAGCGCGAGAACGAGCGAACATATGATTAGATTGCATTCTTCGTGCAGAATTACAAGTTTTATCCATGCAATTTCATAACGTTTAAGCGACAAGTGATCCTGTTCACGATATCGCTCAGTTTCCGCGCTGAGGCTCAGGTACATTCAGCTTGTCGACATGGAGTGACATGTGCGTTGCGAATTGCAGGACTCTGAGAAGGTGACAGGAGTACAATAAAACGTAAGTCGATTCCGTTAATCGTGCGATTTTCGTCGTTGTAATCTCCGCGGATTTGTGCACTAATTTTCAGCATAACCCCAACACTTGTCAGGCCAAAACTCACTAGGCTTTCTAATCGTTCTCATAGTATGTAGATATAATACGATATGATACGCCAAGTGCTATTGAAACGATAGATTAGCCGTATAATTAATCATAATAATGTGTAGACACCTTCAGACACGATGCAAACTGTTAAAAAGTGTAATGAGTTTTGGTTTTGTGAGAGTTCTGGTGAACCGTAGTATATATCAGGTTTTTGCTTAATTACGGTCATTATGATCGAAATTCATTTTAGTTTTATTATTTTTCGAGTTATTTGGTTTTTCCTTTACGATGAGAACGGGGAAAGAAAAGAAATGTTGAGTTTGTTTGATTTTTTCCCAGGGGACAGCTGATATATAATAAGACATGTATTGTTGCATTTTATTATTGATATGGTATATCGTTAATACGCGGTACAGGATTGAATGAATACTATGTCATTTCTAATTAGAGCTCGATCGTAAAGCGATTTTCACCCATTCTTACATCCTCGTTAGAATAGATCTTTCGAGGTATTTTTGTTTATCTTCGATCGAGGATCATTATACTCCTGTAACTCTGGAGACCATTGCACTGTGAGCATCACAAAAGTTGCAACCACCGCGTAAAACTAGAATGGAACGTATTAAGAGCTTAAGAGTACAATTTATTTTCACTATGCGTAACAGCACTTTATCGCAATCCGTCATTAAACAAGTAAGAATGTACAGACTGATGCATGGTATATGCGATAAAAAGGGTAGTGATTATTATACGATAATGGGAATGAACTTGAAAGAACAATTTCCCTGATTATTATTTATGATATGAGACATGACCAACGAGTGAACGAGGACAAATGAGGAAGTAACAAGGGGGAGACGAACATTCCAGAGTAACTTGATGCCAAAGCAAAAGAGTCTCAGACCGGTGATCTTCAGTGGATGATGCATCGTTTGCAAAACGAATTGACAAAGCTGCAAACCGGTACAAACGTGACTTTTATAAAGTATGATCTCTCACAAACGCATCGCTTGTGCTTCTCGCTTATATAAAAATAATCACTTACCTCCTGATGAATATCGGCGTATCGCAGAATAATTGTCAGCTGATGAATTGTCTCGCTAATTTTGTTAGCCTGAAAATAGGAAATGAACGTTGCTACTATATCGACATTATATTTTTCCGAGAATCGCGCGCGTGATATTACCTTAACGCTGATACTCTCGCAGATGTGATTAAGGGAGTAGAGTCTCATGAAGGATATTGAGCCTAATATAACGTAGGCAAGCCAGGCCCTTATTGACGTTTCTTTTCCACTGAGCAGCATTATGCAAAAATTATAAGTCAGTGTTGTTAACAATAAGAGATAGATCAACATCTCCAAAGTCATCTGAGTTCCGAATATCAGGTTCAGTTCACATGCTATGCGACATAATTCTAGATGAACGTGCCTGTTGGAGAACAAATCTGGTTACGGCAGAATGTAGAAATCGCGAAAGTATCGTAGAAAAAGGAGTGTATTGGCTCGTACATTCGATTATATTTCAAATTGGAATAGAGTGTCTTATCGCGTGTTTCGTGTTATTATCAAGTAAATAATTTATATAGGCATGCAGGTGTACCGATTTACATTGAGGTCCACAAGATTCGCTTGTAATTATCGGCATACAAGGTATGTCGATAAACAGCAACCACTGGTTTCTTCCACGTACACCTCAAGCCGTGCTCCTCGCTCACCAGCAGATCTCGTATATTTTCGTTCAGTTTGTCGAATCTGGTGCCTATATACCTGTGTTATAAAGTGTATCTGAATATCACAGAAAAAAATCTGTCTGATTCGGAAGCGTACGGTAAATTTCGATAGACGAATAAACAGAGTCGTTTTGTTATTAAACGAAAATGTACCGCAGAAATTCCGATTAAACGAACACAGAGTCGACTAAACGAGCAAACAAATTGTAGTTAATGTGTACAAACCACATGAAGAAGATGAACGTTAAGTCGACGAATAGGTTGACATGATAACAATGATTTAGCACATGAGGTATGATGTACGCACAATTAGAATGCGTTACTCTCCACCACCAGAAGGAATCGTTAATATCTGTGCAGAATATGTACACGATCCATCCAGCTACCATCCTTTTCGACCACATGTGCATCTTTTGGTACATTTTCGGAATCCCCAACTCTTCCAACGTATCGTCCACATTGGCGAGCTTTTTAATGCACGTCCTTAATTTCTGAAATGTTACATAAAATGCATTTGAAAACGGGAGAGATCATTTAAAAAATATCACTCAGAATTAGATTTAATTATTTCTCCTTTGTCGAGTATTTTTTCTTGTTGCGAGTTCTGTGTTTTTCAACGACAAAATTTGCCTCTCGACAAGCGTCCTTGTTCAGAATTACTTGCATGGGAGAGGTTTTCACAACAAACAGCATTACGATCCTCGAATGTCGCGCAGTAAACTCGCTAATACGCGAACAATCCGACATTGTCGTTGCACGTCGCCATTACGGGGTCGTACCTTGTCATAACACAGGCCGATGATTACGGACGTGAGCGTAGTGAGCATAGTGATCGCACGCACGATCATCGAAACTGTTGTCCGATATGTGATGTTCCGTGTAAAAAACATCATTATGCAGTAATAGAAGCTGCCGTAAGCGCACCAAAACATCAAAGAATACAAAGAGCTGAAGCACGGTTTCACTCGATTCGTAGGATGGATCCCCAAGCCGATAATAAACCTGGTGACGAGGAGAGGTTGTACGCCCTGTTGGATGGTGATCGACGTGGCCATCGTCTGCCGCAAACGAACAACGAATATCCGTTGAAACTCCCATTTGCCGTATGCATTGCTCTGTGTTACGTCGTCGCGACACGAAAACACGTATCCTCGTAATCACAATATGTTCATTGCACAAGCACTTTCGCATATTAAAATAATTGATCTATCCTGATGAAAGAGATCACTCGTTATTGAAATCATCCTTCATGCCGTTTTTCAAGCGACACTCATTGAAATATCGCCGCCAACGCGAACGTATTTTTTGTGTGAACAGAAGCTTATTCGACAGAAACTTCTTTATTATCTATATGGAATAATCATAGAGTGTGTTGTTATGCATACGCGCCAAATTATAATTATTTTAATGAACCTCGTTTTTATTTTATTTACTTGATTGCAGTTGTTATTATGACCATCGTGAAGCATCGTACTAACTGAAAGAATTTGTCTTATCACACTTAGAATTTTGAAACTTAATATAAATAAATAAATAAATATATATATATATATATATATATGTATATATGTGTGTGTATGTGTGTGTGTCTGTATATATATGCATGTCTGAAAAGGACTACAGATCATATGCATGAATTTGTAGCCGAAATTGAAGAATCAGAACACGGAGATCGTTAAAGGCTTTTGCAGTAATAGCAGCAGTAATTGTAACAGACATTGCATAATCTATAAATAATTGCGTATTTAGAAATATATATAGTTTCGCATAAGCAAACATATTGTCGTGCCCGTGTTGCCGGGACACGAAGAAAAAGTTCGTGATCGGTGATGCGGGCGCGGCAGGGTGTGTGGCGGTGGATAAAATGTAGTAAAAGTTTAGACTACCTCTTGTAGTAATATATATATAAAGGTTTATTTGATAAATACACTTGTATGTGTTTTAGTTACAACTCCCGTACTTATGAGTTAATATGCGAACCGCGCGTAAGTCACGTATGACGCGTATGTCGCGGCGAGAGACCGAGATGTTAAGCCTGACGCGAGCGGTCTCTCCGCTTTTTTATAGTATTGTTTTAGGCTTGTCGGAGGGGGTGCCTGGCGACAAGAACATTACCATATTTGGTAATGGTTCGATGCGTTTGGAATTGAGGTCCTAAATGCGGAATGTGCAAGGTGGTGCTTATCGCAGCACTTGCACATCCGCTTCCTTGTCGTGGCGCAATCGAAATAATTCCTTGAGAAGTGTTTCGAAAGCGCTGGTACGATTCGCGATTATAACAATTTATATGTCAGAATTATGTCTTACATTTTGCTGAATCTCTACATCGATAGTAATATTCGATAATCTGTTGAGAAATACTTCACAACCGTTCGCCTAATATTAACAGAACTCTGTTAATAACTTTATAATAAATTATATATAAAAAAGTTATATATAAAATGTTATATATAATTAAAAAAATTACGTATTCAAATTAAAATATGCAATTTACAAAGAATAATGATTTTTAAGAAGGAAAGGACCAGATGTTATTCTACTAAATATTATAGTTATACCAGAATGAGAACAGGGAAAGAAAAAAGACGTAGAGTTTGTTTGATTTTTTATTACAAGGGAAAGCTGATATGTAATAAGGCACGTATTGTTGCGTTTTATTATTGGTATGGTATCGTTAGTCCGTGATACAGAATTGAATTAACATTATGTCATTCATAATCAGTGCTCGATCGTAAAGCGATTTTCGCACATTCTTACATTCTCATTAGAATAGATCTTTCGAGGTGTTGCTGTTTATCTTTGATCGCGGATCATTATACTCCTGTAACTCTGGAGACCATTGCACTGCGAGCATCACGAAAGTTGCAACCACAGCGCAAAACTAGAATGGAACATATTAAGAGCTTAAGAGTACAATTTATTTTCAGTGCGTGCTATGCGTACCAGTACTTCAACGCAATCCGTCGTTAAACAAATTAGAATGTGGAGACTGATACGTGGTATATGCTATAAAAAGGGTAGTGATTATTTTATGATAACGGGGATGAACTTGATAGAATAATTTCCCTGATCATTATTTGTGTTATGGGGCATGACCAACGAGTGAACGAGGATAGACGAGAAAGTAATAAGGTGGAGACAAACCTTCCAGAGTAACTTGGTACCGAAGCAAAAGAGTTTCAAACCGGTGAATTTCAGTGGATGATGCATCGTTTGCAAAATGAATTGACAAAGCTGCAAACAGGCACAAGCGCGAATTTTTCAAATGTGATCTCTCACAAACGCGTCGCTTGCACTTCTAGCGTATATAAAAGTAATCACTCACCTCCTGATGAATATCGGCGTATCTCAGACTAATTGTCAGCTGATGAGTTATCTCGCTAATTTTGTTAGCCTGAAAACAGAAAATGAACGTCGCTACTATATCGACCCTATACTTTTTTCGAGAAATGCGCGTATAATATTACCTTAACGCTGACGCTCTCGCAAATGTAATTAATGGAGTAGAGTCTTATGATGCATATGCAGGCCCATATAGTGGTGCCGAGCCAGGTACTTATTGATATGCCTTTCCGCATGAGCAGTGTTATGCAAAAATGAAACGCCACTGACGTTAAGAATAAGAGAGCGGACAACATCCCCAAAGTCATCTGCGTTCCGAATATCAGGTTCAATTCACGCGCGATGCGACATAATTCTAGCTGAAGATGCCTATTAGAGAACAGATCTCGTTACTGCAGAATGTACAAATCACGAAAGTATCGTAGGAAAAGGAATATATCGACTCGTAAAATCGATTATTTTTTAAATTGGAACAGAGTGTCTTATCGCGTGTTTTGTTTTATCATCAAGTCAATAATATATACATGCGTGCATGTATACCCATTTACATTGAGGACCACAACATTCGCTTGTAATTATCGGCATACAAGGTAGATCGGTAAACAGTAACCACTGGTTTCTTCCACGTAAACCTCAAGCTGTGCTCCTCGCTCACCAGCAGACCTCGTACATTTTCGTTAAGTTTGTCGAATCTGTTGCCTATATACCTGTTTATGAAGCATATCTAGAATATTACAAAAAGAATTCTCTCCGATTTCGGGCGCGTACGGTAAATTTCGACAGGACGAGTACACAGAGTAATTTCTTTTGTTATTAAACGAAAATATATAGCAGGTATTCTGATTAAATGAGCACACGATCGACTAAACGAGCAAGCAAATTATAATTATTGTGTACAGACCACATGAAGAAGATGAAGGTCAAATCCACGAATAGGTTGACATGAAAACAATGATTTATCGCATGAGATATGAGATACGCCCAATTGGACTGTCTTACGCTCCGCCACCAGAGGGAGTCGTAAGTATTTGTGAAGAATATATACACGACCCATCCGGCTACCACTCGTTTCGACCACATGTGCATCTCTTGGTACATTTTCGGAATGCCCAACTCTTCCAACGTGTCGTCCACAGTGGCGAGATTCTTAATGCACGTCCTTAATTTCTGAAACGTTATGTGAGATGCAATTGAAGACAGGAGAGTTCACTTAAAAGATATCACTAAGAATTAAATTTAACTATTTCTTTTTTGTCGACGCGAATTTCTTCTTTTTGCGAGTTATGTGCTCTTCAACGACGAAGTTTGCTTCTCGACAAGCGTTTTTGTTCAGAATCACTTCTGTGGGAGAGGTTTTTACTCTAAATAGCATTACGATTCTCGGATGTTGCGCAGTAAACTCGCTGACACATGAACAGACCGACATTGTCGTTGCACTTTGCCATTACGCTGACATACCTTGTCATAACAAAAGCCGATGATTACGGACGTGAGCGTAGTGAACATGTTGATTACATGCACAATTTTCCAAATGGTTCTTTGAAATATTACATTCCATGTAAACATCATTATTATGCAGTAATAGAAGCAGCCGTAAACGCACCACAGCATCAAAGAATACAACACGCTGAAGCACGGCTTCGCTCGATTCGAAGGATAGATCCCCAAGCCGATAATAAACCAGATGACGAGGAGGGGTTGTATGCCCTGTTGAATGGTGGTCGACGTGGCCATCGTTTGCCGCAAACTAACAACGAATGTCCATTGAAACTCCCATTTGCCGTACGCATCGCTTAGTTTTACGTCTACGCGACACGAAAACGCAGATCCTCGTAATCACAATATTCTCGTTGCACAAGCACTTACGTATATTAAAACAATTGATCTATCCTGATGAAAGAGAACATTTGTTATTGAAATCATTCTTCATGCCGTTATTCAAGCGACACTTATTGAAATGCCGCCGCCAACGCGGACGTAGATTTTGGGTGAAGATGCTCTATTAGACAGAAACTTCTTTATTATCTATTTGGAATAATCATACAGTGTGTTGTTATGCATACGCAAGAAATTATAATTATTTTACTGAACCTTGTTTTTATTTCATTTACTTGATTGTAGCTATTATTATGACCTTCATGAAGCATTGTACTAACTGAAAAAATTTGTCTTATCACGCTTAGAATTTTGAAACACAATATAAATAAATAAATAAATAAATAAATATATGTATATATATGTATGTAAGTGTGTGTGTCTGTATATATATGCATGTCTGAAAAGGACTACAGATCATATGTATAAATTTGTAGCCGAAATTGAAGAATCAGAACACGGAAATCGTTAAAGGCTTTTGCAGTAATAGCAGCAGTAATTGTAACAGACATTGCATAATCTATAAATAATTGCGTATTTAGAAATAAATATAGTTTCGCATAAGCAAGTAATTATATGTCAGAATTGTGTCTTACATTTTGCTGAATCTCTACATCGATAGTAATATTCGATAATCTGTTAGAAATACCTCACAACCGTTCGCCTAATATTAACAGAACTCTGTTAATAATTTTATAATATATTATATATAAAAAAGTTATATATAAAATGTTATATATAATTAAAAAAATTACGTATTCAAATTAAAATATACAATTTACAAAGAATAATGATTTTTAAGAGGGAAAGGACCAGATGGTATTTTACTATATTTTTATAGTTATACCAGAATGAGAACGGGGAAAGAAAAAAGACGTAAAGTTTGTTTGATTTTTTACTACAGGGGAAAGCTGATATGTAATAAGGCACGTATTGTTGCATTTTATTATTAATATGGTATATCGTTAGTCCGCGATACAGGATTGAATGAACATTATGTCATCTATAATCAGAGCTCGATCGTAAAGCGATTTTCGCACATTCTTACATTCTCATATAGAATATAAGAATAGATTTTTTGAGGTGTTGCTGTTTATCTTCGATCGCGGATCATTATATTCCTGTAACTCTGGAGACCATTGCACTGCGAGCATCGCGAAAGTAGCAACCACCGCGCAAAACTAGAATGGAACGTATTAAGAGCTTAAGAGTACAATTTATTTTCAGTGCGTGCTATGCGTACCAGTACTTCATCGCAATCCGTCGTTAAACAAGTTAGAATGTGGAGACTGATACGTGGTATATGCTATAAAAAGGATAGTGATTATTTCATGATAACGGGGATGAACTTGATAGAATAATTTGCCTGATCGTTATTTGTGTTATGGGGCATGACCAACGAGTGAACGAGGATAGACGAGAAAGTAATAAGGTGGAGACAAACCTTCCAGAGTAACTTGGTACCGAAGCAAAAGAGCTTCAGACCGGTGAATTTCAGTGGATGATGCATCGTTTGCAAAATGAATTGACAAAGCTGCAAACAGGCACAAGCGCGAATTTTTCAAATGTGATCTCTCACAAACGCGTCGCTTGCACTTCTAGCGTATATAAAAGTAATCACTCACCTCCTGATGAATATCGGCGTATCTCAGACTAATTGTCAGCTGATGAGTTATCTCGCTAATTTTGTTAGCCTGAAAACAGAAAATGAACGTCGCTACTATATCGACCCTATACTTTTTTCGAGAAATGCGCGTATAATATTACCTTAACGCTGACGCTCTCGCAAATGTAATTAATGGAGTAGAGTCTTATGATGCATATGCAGGCCCATATAGTGGTGCCGAGCCAGGTACTTATTGATATGCCTTTCCGCATGAGCAGTATTATGCAAAAATTATACGCCACTGACGTTAAGAATAAGAGATCGGTCAACATCCCCAAAGTCATCTGCGTTCCGAATATCAGGTTCAGTTCACGCGCGATGCGACATAATTCTAGCTGAAGATGCCTATTAGATAACAGATCTCGTTACTGCAGAATGTACAAATCGCGAGAGTATCGTAGGAAAAGGAATATATCGGCTCGTACAATCGAATATTTTTTAAATTGTAATAGAGTGTCTTATCGCGTGTTTCGTTTTATTATCAAGTCAATAATATATACATGCATGCAGGTGTACTTATTTACATTGAGGACCACAACATTCGCTTGTAATTATTGGCATACAAGGTAGATCGGTAAACAGCAACTACTGGTTTCTTCCACGTACACCTCAAGCTGTGCTCCTCGCTTACCAGCAGACCTCGTACATTTTCGTTAAGTTTGTCGAATCTGGTGCCTATATACCTGTTTTGTGAAGCATATCTAGAATATTACAGAAAGAAATCTCTCCGATTTCGGACGCGTACGATAAATTTCGACAGGGTGTGTACACAAAGTAACTTCTTTTGATATTAAACGAAAATATATAGCAGGTATTCTGATTAAATGAGCACACTAAACGAGCAAGCAAATTATAATTATTGTGTACAGACCACATGAAGAAGATGAAGGTCAAATCCACGAATAGGTTGACATGAAAACAATGATTTATCGCATGAGATATGAGATACGCCCAATTGGACTGTCTTACGCTCCGCCACCAGAGGGAGTCGTAAGTATTTGTGAAGAATATATACACGACCCATCCGGCTACCACTCGTTTCGACCACATGTGCATCTCTTGGTACATTTTCGGAATGCCCAACTCTTCCAACGTGTCGTCCACAGTGGCGAGATTCTTAATGCACGTCCTTAATTTCTGAAACGTTATGTGAGATGCAATTGAAGACAGGAGAGTTCACTTAAAAGATATCACTAAGAATTAAATTTAACTATTTCTTTTTTGTCGACGCGAATTTCTTCTTTTTGCGAGTTATGTGCTCTTCAACGACGAAGTTTGCTTCTCGACAAGCGTTTTTGTTCAGAATCACTTCTGTGGGAGAGGTTTTTACTCTAAATAGCATTACGATTCTCGGATGTTGCGCAGTAAACTCGCTGACACATGAACAGACCGACATTGTCGTTGCACTTTGCCATTACGCTGACATACCTTGTCATAACAAAAGCCGATGATTACGGACGTGAGCGTAGTGAACATGTTGATTACATGCACGATTTTCCAAATGGTTCTTTGAAATATTACATTCCATGTAAACATCATTATTATGCAGTAATAGAAGCAGCCGTAAACGCACCACAGCATCAAAGAATACAACACGCTGAAGCACGGCTTCGCTCGATTCGAAGGATAGATCCCCAAGCCGATAATAAACCAGATGACGAGGAGGGGTTGTATGCCCTGTTGAATGGTGGTCGACGTGGCCATCGTTTGCCGCAAACTAACAACGAATGTCCATTGAAACTCCCATTTGCCGTACGCATCGCTTAGTTTTACGTCTACGCGACACGAAAACGCAGATCCTCGTAATCACAATATTCTCGTTACACAAGCACTTACGTATATTAAAACAATTGATCTATCCTGATGAAAGAGATCATTTGTTATTGAAATCATCCTTCATGCCGTTATTCAAGCGACACTTATTGAAATGCCGCCGCCAACACGGACGTAGATTTTGTGTGAACAGATGCACTATTAGACAGAAACTTCTTTATTATCTATTTTCAATAATCATACAGTGTGTTGTTATGCATACGCAAGAAATTATAATTATTTTACTGAACCTCGTTTTTATTTTATTTACTTGATTGCAGCTATTATTATCGTCATCGTGAAGCATTGTACTAACTGAAAGAATTTGTCTTATCACACTTAGAATTTTGAAACTCAATATAAATAGATAAATAAATAAATATATATATATATATATATATATATTTATGTGTGTGTGTCTGTATATATATGCATGGCTGAAAAGGAGTACAGGTGATATGTATAAATTTGTAGCCGAAATTGAAGAATCAGAACACGGAGATCGTTAGAGGGTTTTGCAGTAACAGCAGCAATAAATGTAACAAACATTGCGTAATCTGTAAATAATGGCGTACTTAGAAACATATATATTTTCGCATAAGGAAGCATTTATACGTCAGAATTGTGTTTTACATTTTGCTTGATCTCTGCATCGAAAGTAATATTCGATAATCTGTTCAGAAATACTTCACCGTTCACCTAATATTAACAGAACTCTATTAATAATTATATAAAACATTATATGAAAAAGTTATATATAAAATGTTATATATAATAAAAAAAATTATGTATTCAAATTAATATATGCAATTTACAAAGATTAATGATTTTTAAGAGGGAACGGAACATGTGGTATTTTATTATATTTCTAAAGTTTTACCGGAATGAGAACGGGGAAAGGAAAGAGACACTGAGTTTGTTTGATTTTTTCCTACGGCGGAAAGCTGATATGTAATAAGGCACGTATTGTTGCATTTCATTATTGGTATGGTATATCGTTAATCCGCGGTATAGGATTGAATGGACATTATGTCATCCCTAATTAGAGGATCGATTGTAAAGCGATTTTCACACATCCTTACATTCTCATTCGAATAGATTCTTCCAAGTATTGTTGTTTATCTTCGAACGCGAATTATTATACACCTGTAACTCTGGAGACCATTGCATGTTGAGCATCACCAAAGTTGCAACAACCGCGCAAAACTAGAATCGAACGTATTAAGAGCTTAAGGGTACAATTTATTTTCAGTGCCTGCTATGCGTACTAGCATTTCATTGCAATCCGTACAAGTTAGAAAGTAGAGACTGATGTGTAGTATATGCGATAAAAGGGTAGTAATTATAGTGCGATAACGAAGATGAACTTGAAAGAACAATTTCCCGAATCGTTATTTGTGATACGAAGCATAGTGATTATAATATGATAATGGGGATGAACCTGAAAGAACAATTTCCCTGGTGGAAATTTATGATATGCGGCATGATCAACGAGTAAACGAAGATAAAGGGTAAGTAACAAGGTGGAGACGAACCTTCCAGAGTAACTTGCTGCCGAAACAAAAGAGCCTTAGACCGGTGAACTTCAGTGGTTGACGCATAGTTTGCAAAATGAATTGACAAAGCTGCAAACAAGCACAAGCGCGACTTTTTCCAACGTGATCGCTCACAAACGCATCGCTTGCGCTTCTCGCTTATATAAAAGTAATCACTCACCTCTTGGTGCATGTCGGCGTATCGTAGAATAATTGTCAGCTGATGAATTGTCTCGCCAATTTTATTAGCCTGAAAACAGAAAATGAACGTCGCTACTATATCGACACTATATTTCTTTCGAGAATCGCGCGCGTAATATTACCTTAACGCTCAAGCTCTCGCAAATGTAATTAATGGAGTAGAGTCTTATGATGCATATGCAGGCCAATATAATGCCGCTGAGCCAGATATATATTGATATGCCTTTCCAAATGAGCAGCCCCATACAAAAATAAAACGCCAGTGACGTAAAGTCTAAGAGATAGGTCAACATCTCCAAAGTCATCTGCGTTCCGAATATCAGGTTCAGTTCACGCGCGATGCGACATAATTCTAGCTGAAGATGCCTGTTGGAGTATAGATCTCGTTACGCCAGAATGTACAAATCGCGAGAGTATCGTAGGAAAAGGAGTGTATCTGCTTGTACAATCGATTATTTTTCAAATTGGAATAGAGTGTCTTATCGCGTATTTCGTGTTTTTACCAAGTCAATAATTTATACAGGCATGCAGGTATACCGATTTACATTGAGGTCCACAACACTCGCTTATAATCATCGGTATAGATATGTCGGTAAACAGCAACCACTGGTTTCTTCCACGTACACTTCAAGCCGTACTCCTCGTTCACCAGCAGTCCTCGTACATTTTCGTTCAGTTTGTCGAATCTGGTCCCTATATACCTGTGTTGCGAAGCATTTCTAGAATATTACAGAAAGAAATCTCTCCGATTTCGGACCCGGTAAATTTCGACAAGACAAGTACACAGAGTCATGTCTTTTGTTATTAAACGAAAATATACAGCACGTATTCTGATTAAATTAGTACACGACCGACCAAACGAGCAAGCAAATTATAGTTATTGTGTACAGACCACATGAAGAAGATAAACGTCAAATCCACGAATGTGTTGACGTAATAACAATGATTTATCACATGAGGTATGAGATACGCCCAATTAGACTGCGATACTTTCCGCCACCGGAAGAAATCATAGGTATTTATGAAGAGTATGTAAACGACCCATCCAGCTACTACCCGTTTTGACCACATGTGCATCTCTTGGTACATTTTTGGAATCCCCAACTCTTCCAACGTGTCGTCCACAATGGCGAGCCTCTTAATGCAAGTCCTTAATTTCTGAAACGTTACGTGAGATGCAATTGAAGAAGGGGGGAGATCACTTAAAAGCTGTCACTAAGAATTAAATTTAATTATTTCTCCTTTGTCGACGCGAATTTCTTCTTTTTGCGATTTCTGTGCTCTTCAACAACGAAGTTTGTCTTTCGACAAGCGTCTTTGTTCGGAATCACTTGCATGGGAGAGGTTTTCACTCCAAAGTTCAGCATTACGACCCTCGGATGTCGCGCAGTAAACTCGCTGACACGCTAACAGTCCGACATTGTCGTTGCATGTTGCCATTACACGGTCATACCTTATCATAAAACAAGCCGATGATTACGGACATGAGTGTAGTGAGCATGTTGATCACATTCAGGATTATCGAAAGATTTTTCCGAAATGTTATGTCCCAAATAAAAAACATTATGAGGTAGTAGAAGCAGCCGTAAGCGCACCACAGCAACAAAGAATACAAAGCACTGAAGCACGGCTTCGCTCGATTCGTAGGATAGATCCCCAAGCCGATAATAAACCAGGTGACGAGGAGGGGTTGTACGCCCTGTTGATTGGTGGTCGACGTGGCCATCGTCTGCCGCAAACTAACAACGTATGTCCGTTGAAACTCCCATTTGCCATACGCATCGCTCTGTTTTACGTCGACGCGACACGAAAACACGTATCCTCGTAATCACAATATGTTCATTGCACAAGCACTTTCGCATATTAAAATAATTGATCTATCCTGATGAAAGAGATCACTCGTTATTGAAATCATCCTTCATGTCGTTTTTCAAGCGACACTCATTGAAATATCGCCGCCAACGCGAACGTATTTTTTGTGTGAACAGAAGCTTATTAGACAGAAAATTCTTTATTATCTATTTGGAATAATCATAGAGTGTGTTGTTATGCATAAGCGCCAAATTATAATTATTTTAATGAACCTCGTTTTTATCTTATTTACTTGATTGCAGTTATTATTATGACCATCGTGAAGCATCGTACTAATTGAAAGAATTTGTCTTATCACACTTAGAATTTTGAAACTTAATATAAATAAATAAATAAATAAATATATATATATATATATATATATGTATATATATATGTGTGTGTGTATGTGTGTGTGTCTGTATATATATGCATGTCTGAAAAGGACTACAGATCATATGCATGAATTTGTAGCCGAAATTGAAGAATCAGAACACGGAGATCGTTAAAGGCTTTTGCAGTAATAGCAACAGTAATTGTAACAGACATTGCATAATCTATAAATAATTGCGTATTTAGAAATATATATAGTTTCGCATAAGCAAACATTTATATGTCAGAATTGTATCTTACATTTTGCTTAATCTCTACATCGATAGTAATATTCGATAATCTGTTGAGAAATACTTCACAACCGTTTGCGTAATATTAACAGAACTCTGTTAATAATTTTATAATATATTATATATAAAAAAGTTATATATAAAATGTTATATATAATTAAAAAAATTACGTTTTCAAATTAAAATATGCAATTTACAATGAATAATGATTTTTAAGAGGGAAAGGACCCGATAGTATTTTACTATATTTTTATAGTTATACCAGAATGAGAACGGGGAAAGAAAAGAGACGTAGAGTTTGTTTGATTTTTTACTACAGGGGAAAGCTGATATGTAATAAGGCACGTATTGTTGCGTTTTATTATTGGTATGGTATATCGTTAGTCCACGATACAGGATTGAATTAACATTATGTCATTCATAATCAGTGCTCGATCGTAAAGCGATTTTCGCACATTGTTACATTCTCGTTAGAATAGATCTTTCGAGGTGTTGCTGTTTATCTTCGATCGCGGATCATTATACTTCTGTAACTCTGGAGACCATTGCACTGCGAGCATCACGAAAGTTGCAACCACAGCGCAAAACTAGAATGGAACATATTAAGAGCTTAAGAGTACAATTTATTTTCAGTGCGTGCTATGCGTACCAGTACTTCATCGTAATCCGTCGTTAAACAAGTTAGAATGTGGAGACTGATACGTGGTATATGCTATAAAAAGGGTAGTGATTATTTTATGATAACGGGCATGAACTTGATAGAATAATTTCCCTGATCATTATTTGTGTTATGGGGCATGACCAACGAGTGAACGAGGATAGACGACAAAGTACTAAGGTGGAGACAAACCTTCCAGAGTAACTTGGTACCGAAGCAAAAGAGCTTCATACCGGTGAATTTCAGTGGATGATGCATCGTTTGCAAAACTAATTGACAAAGCTGCAAACAGGCACAAGCGCGAATTTTTCAAATGTGATCTCTTACAAACGCGTCGCTTGCACTTCTAGCGTATATAAAAGTAATCACTCACCTCCTGATGAATATCGGCGTATCTCAGAATAATTGTCAGCTGATGAATTATCTCGCTAATTTTGTTAGCCTGAAAACAGAAAATGAACGTCGCTACTATATCGACCCTATACTTTTTTCGAGAAATGCGCGTATAATATTACCTTAACGCTGACGCTCTCGCAAATGTAATTAATGGAGTAGAATCTTATGATGCATATGCAGGCCCATATACTGGTGCCGAGCCAGGTACTTATTGATATGCCTTTCCGAATGAGCAGCATTATGCAAAAATGATGCGCCACTGACGTTAAGAATAAGAGATCGGTCAACATCCCCAAAGTCATCTGCGTTCCGAATATCAGGTTCAGTTCACGCGCGATGCGACATAATTCTAGCTGAAGATGCCTATTAGAGAACAGATCTCGTTACTGCAGAATGTACAAATCGCGAGAGTATCGTAGGAAAAGGAATATATCGGCTCGTAAAATCGATTATTTTTTAAATTGGAATAGAGTGTCTTATCGCGTGTTTTGTTGTTTTATTATCAAGTCAATAATTTAGACATGCATGCATGTATATCCATTTACATTGAGGACCATAACATTCGTTTGTAATTATCGGCATACAAGGTAGATCGGTAAACAGCAACCACTGGTTTCTTCCACGTACACCTCAAGCTGTGCTCCTCGCTCACCAGCAGACCTCGTACATTTTCGTTAAGTTTGTCGAATCTGTTGCCTATATACCTGTTTGTGAAGCATATCTAGAATATTACAGAAAGAAATCTCTCCGATTTCGGACGCGTACGGTAAATTTCGACAGGACGAGTATACAGAGTAATTTCTTTTGATATTAAACGAAAATATATAGCAGGTATTCTGATTAAATGAGCACACGGTCCACTAAACGAGCAAGCAAATAGTTATTGTGTACAGACCACATGAAGAAGATGAAGGTCAAATCCACGAATAGGTTGACATGAAAACAATGATTTATCGCATGAGATATGAGATACGCCCAATTAGACTGCCTTACGCTCCGCCACCAGAAGGAATCGTAAGTATTTGTGAAGAATATGTACACGGCCCATCCGGCTACCACCCGTTTCGACCACATGCGCATATCTTGGTACATTTTCGGAATGCCCAACTCTTCCAACGTGTCATCCACAGTGGCGAGCTTCTTAATGCACGTCCTTAATTTCTGAAACGTTACATGAGATGCAATTGAAGAGAGGAGAGTTCACTTAAAAGTTATCACTTAAAAGTTCACTTAAAAGTTATTACTAAGAATGAAATTTAACTATTTCTTTTTTTGTCGACGCGAATTTCTTATTTTTGCGAGTTATGTGCTTTTCAACGACGAAGTTTGCTTCTCGACAAGCGTTTTTGTTCAGAATCACTTCTGTGGAAGAGGTTTTTACTCCAAATAGCATTACGATTCTCGGATGTCGCGCAGTAAACTCGCTGATACACGAACAGACCGACATTGTCGTTGCTCTTTGCCATTACGCTGACATACCTTGTCATAACACAAGCCGATGATTACGGACGTGAGCGTAGTGAGCATGTTGATTACATGCATGATTATCGAAACGGTTCTTCGAAATATTACGTTCCATGTAAATATCATTATTATGCAGTAATAGAAGCAGCCGTAAACGCACCACAGCATCAAAGAATACAACACGCTGAAGCACGGCTTCGCTCGATTCGTAGGATAGATCCCCAAGCCCATAATAAACAAGGTGACGAAGAGGGGTTGTACGCCCTGTTGAATGGTAGTCGACGTGGCCATCGTTTGCTGCAAACTAACAACGAATGTCCATTTAAACTCCCATTTGCCGTACGCATCGCTGTGTTACGTCTACGTGACACAAAAACGCAGATCCTCGTAATCACAATATTCTCTTTGCACAAGCACTTACGTATATTAAAACAATTGATCTATCCTGACGAAAGAGATCATTTGTTATTGAAATCATCTTTCATCCCGTTATTCAAGCGACACTTATTGAAATGCCGCCGCCAACGCGGACGTAGATTTTGTGTGAACAGATGCTCTATTAGACAGAAACTTCTTTATTATCTATTTGGAATAATCATATAGTGTGTTGTTATGCATACGCAAGAAATTATAATTATTTTACTGAACCTCGTTTTTATTTTATTTACTTGATTGCAGCTATTATTATGGTCATCGTGAAGCATTGTACTAACTGAAAGAATTTGTCTTATCACGCGTAGAATTTTGAAACTCAATTTAATAAATAAATAAATAAATAAATATATGTATATATATGTATGTATGTGTGTGTGTCTGTATATATATGCATGGCTGAAAAGGGCTACAGATCATATGTATAAATTTGTAGCCGAAATTGAAGAATCAGAACACGGAGATCGTTACAGGCTTTTGCAGTAATAGCAGTAGTAAATGTAACAGACATTGCATAATCTATAAATAATTGCGTATTTAAAAATATATATCGTATCGCATAAGCAAACATTTATTATGTCAGAATTGTGTCTTACATTTTGCTTAATCTCTACATCGATAGTAATATTCGATAATCTGTTGAGAAATATTTCACAACCGTTCGTCTAATATTAACAGAACTCTGTTAATAATTTTATAATAAGTTATATATAAAAAAGTTATATATAAAATGTAATATATAATTAAAAAAATTATGTATTCAAATTAAAATATGCAATTTACAAAGAATAATGATTTTTAAGTGGGAAAGGACCAGATTTTTAAGAGGGAAAGGACCACTATATTTTTATAGTTATACCAGAATGAGAACGGGGAAAGAAAAAAGACGTAGAGTTTGTTTGATTTTTTACTACAGGGGAAAGCTGATATGTAATAAGGCACGTATTACTGGTATGGAATATCGTTAGTCCGCGATACAGGATTGAATGAACATTATATCATCCATAATCAGAGCTCGATCGTGAAGCGATTTTCGTACATTCTTATTTTCTCATTAGAATTGATCTTTCGAGCTGTTGCTGTTTATCTTCGATCGCGGATCATTATACTCCTGTAACTCTGGAGACCATTGCACTACGAGCATCGTGAAAGTTGCAACCACCGCGCAAAACTAGAATGGAACGTATTAAGAGCTTAAGAGTACAATTTATTTTCAGTGCCTGCTATGCGTACCAATACTTCATCGCAATCTGTACAAGTTAGAAAGTAGAGACTGACGTTTAGTATATGCGATAAAAGGGTAGTAATTATTGTGCGATAACGAAGATGAACTTAAAAGAGCAATTTGCCGAGTCGTTATTTGTGATACGAATCATAGTGTTTATTATACGATAACGTAGATGAATTTAAAAGAAAAATTTCCCTGATCGAAATTTATGATATGCAACATGATCAACGAGTGAACGAGGATAGACGAGGAAATAACAAAGTGGAGACGAACCGTCCAGAGTAACTTGCTGCCAAAGCAAAAGAGTCTCAGACCGGTGAACTTCAGTGGATGATGCATCGTTTGCAAAATGAATTGACAAAGCTGCAAACAGGCACAAGAGCGAATTTTTCAAATGTGATCTCTTACAAACGCGTCGCTTGCACTTCTAGCTTATATAAAAATAATTACACACCTCCTGATGAATATCGGCGTATCTCAGAATAATTGTCAGCTGATGTATTATCTCGCTAATTTTGTTAGCCTGAAAACAGAAAATGAACGTCGCTACTACATTCACACTATATTTTTTTCGAGAATTTTACGTATGATATTACCTTAACGCTGACGCTCTCGCAAATGTAATTAATGGAGTAGAGTCTTATCATGCATGTGCAGGCCCATATACTGGCGCCGAGCCAGGTACTTATTGATATCCCTTTTCGAATGAGTAGCATTATGCAAAAACGAGACGCCACTGACGTTAAGCCTAAGAGATCGGTCAACATCCCCAAAGTCATCTGCGCTCCGAATATCAGGTTCAGTTCACGCGCGATGCGACATAATTCTAGCTGAAGATGCCTATTAGAGAACAAATCTCGTTACTGCAGAATGTATAAATCGTGAGAGTATGGTAGGAAAAGGAATATATTGGCTCTTAAAATCGATTATTTTTTAAATTAGAATAGAGTGTCTTATCGCGTGTTTTGTTTTATTATCAAGTCAATAATTTATACATGCATGCATGTATACCCATTTACATTGAGGACCACAACATTCGCTTGTAATTATCGGCATACAAGGTAGATCGGTAAACAGCAACCACTGATTTCTTCCACGTACACCTCAAGCTGTGCTCCTCGCTCACCAGCAGACCTCGTACATTTTCGTTAAGTTTGTCGAATCTGGTGCCTATATACCTGTTTATGAAGCATATCTAGAATATTACAGAAAGAAATCTCTCCGATTTCGGACGCGTACGGTAAATTTTGACAGGACGAGTACACAGAGCAATTTCTTTTGATATTAAACGAAAATATATAGCAGGTATTCTGATTAAATGAGCACACGGTCTACTAAACGAGCAAGCAAATTATAGTTATTGTGTACAGACCACATGAAGAAGATGAAGGTCAAATCCACGAATAGGTTGACATGAAAACAATGATTCATCGCATGAGATATGAGATACGCCCAATTAGACTGCATTACGCTCCGCCACCAGAAGGAATCGTAAGTATTTGTGAAGAATATGTACACGACCCATCCGGCTACCACCCGTTTCGACCACATGCGCATCTCTTGGTACATTTTCGGAATGCCCAACTCTTCCAACGTGTCGTCCACAGTGGCGAGCTTCTTAATGCACGTCCTTAATTTCTGAAACGTTACATGAGATGCAATTGTAGAGAGGAGAGTTCACTTAAAAGTTATCACTAAGAATGAAATTTAACTATTTCTTTTTTGTCGACGCGAATTTCTTCTTTTTGCGAGTTATGTGCTCTTCAACGACGAAGTTTGCTTCTCGACAAGCGTTTTTGTTCAGAATCACTTCTGTGGGAGAGGTTTTTACTCCAAATAGCATTACGATTCTCGGATGTCGCGCAGTAAACTCGCTGACACACGAACAGGCCGACATTGTCGTTGCACTTTGCCATTACGCTGACATACCTTGTCATAACACAAGTCGATGATTACGGACGTGAGCGTAGTGAGCATGTTGATTACATGCACGATTATCCAAATGGTTTTTTGAAATATTACATTCCATGTAAACGTCATTATTATGCAGTAATAGAAGCAGCCGTAAACGCACCACAGCATCAAAGAATACAACATGCTGAAGCACGGCTTCGCTCGATTCGTAGGATAGTTCCCCAAGCCGATAATAAACCAGGTGACGAGGAGGGGTTGTACGCCTTGTTGAATGGTGGTCGACGTGGCCATCATTTGCCGCAAATGAACAACGAATGTCCGTTGAAAATCCCATTTGCCGTATGCATTGTTCTGTGTTACGTCGACGCGACACGAGAACACGGATCTTCGTAATCGCAATATGTTCGTTGCACAAGCACTTACGCATATTAAAACAATTGATCTATTCTGATGAAAGAGATCACTCGTCATCCTTCATACTGTTAATCAAGCGACACACACTGAAATACAGCCGCCAACGCGGACATACTTTTTGTGTGAACAGAAGCTCTATTAGACAGAAGCTTCTTTATTATCTATTTGGAATAATCATACAGTGTGTTGTTATGCTTACGCACGAAATTATAATTATTTTACTGAACCTCGTTTTTATTTCATTTGCTTGATTGCAGCTATTATTATGATCGTTGTGAGGCATTGTACAAACTGAAAGAATTTGTCTTATCACACTTAGTATTTTGAAACTCAATATAAATAAATAAATAAATAAATATATATATATATATATATATATATATATATATATATATATATATATATATGTATATATGTGTGTCTGTATGTATGTGTATGCCTGAAAATTACTACAGACCATATGCATAAATTTGTAACCGAAATTGAAGAATCAGAACACGGATATCGTTAAAGGCTTTTGTAGTAATTGCAGCAGTAATTGTAGCAGACCTTGCGTATTCTGTAAATAATTGCGTAATTAGAAATATATATAGTTTCGCATAAGCAAGCATTTATACGTCAGAATGATGGCTTACATTTTTCTTATTCTCTGCATCGAGAGTAAGATTCGATGATCTGTCGAGAATTATTTTACCACCGTTCGCTTAATATTAACAGAACTTTGTTAATAATTATATAAAAAGTTATATCAAAAAGTTATGTATAAAAAGCTGTATAAAATTAAAAAAATTATGTATTGAAATTAAAATATGCACTTTACCAAGAATAATGATTTTTAAGAGTGAGAGCACCAGATGATATTTTATTATATTTTTAAAGTTATACCAGAATGAGAATGAAGAAAGAAAAGAAAAGTTTAGTTTGTTTGATTTTCTCCTACGAGCGAAAGCTGATATGTAATAAGACACGTTGTGGCATTTTATTATTAGTATGGTATATCGTTAGTACAGGATTGAACGAACATTATGTCATCCCTCATTAGAACTCGATCGTAAAGCGATTTTCACGCATCCTTACATTCTCATTAGAATTGATCCTTCGAAATATTGTTATTCATCTTCGCGGATCATTATACTCCTGTAACTCTGGAGACAATTGCACTGCGAGCATCGTGAAAGTTGCAACCACCGCGCAAAACTAGAATGGAACGTAATTAAGAGCTTATGAGTACAATTTATTTTCAGTGAGTGCTATGAGTGCAGTGCGTACTAGCACTTCATCGCAATCCGTACAAGTTAGAAAGTAGAGACTAACGTGTAGTATATGCGATAAAAAAGTAGTAATGATTGTGCGATAACGAAGATGAACTTGAAAGAGCAATTTTCCAAGTCGTTATTTGTGATACGAAGCATAATGATTATTATACGGGGGTGAAATGGAAAGAACAATTTCCCTGATCGAAATTTATGATATGCGGCATGACCAACGAGTGAACGAGGATAGACGAGGAAGTAACAAGATAAAGACGAACCTTCCAGAGTAACTTGCTGCCGAAACAAAAGAACCTCAGACCGGTGAATTTCAGTGGATGATGCATCGTTTGCAAAATGAATTGACACAACTGCAAACAGGCACAAGCGCGACTTTTTCCAAAGTGATCTCTGACAAACGCATCGCTTGCGCTTCTCGCTTATATAAAAGTAATCACTCACCTCCTGGTGCATATCGGCGTATCGCAGAAAAATTGTCAGCTGATGAATTGTCTCGCTAATTTTGTTAGCCTGAAAAACAGAAAATGAACGTCGCTACTACATCGACACTATATTTCCTCCGAGAATCGCGCGCGTAATATTACCTTAACGCTGACGCTCTCGCAAATGTAATTAATGAAGTAGAGTCTTATGATGCATATGCAGGCCCATATAATGGCGCTGAGCCAAATATATATTGATAGGTTTTTCTGAATGAGCAGCGCTATACAAAAATGAAACGCCAGTGACGTAGAGCATAAGAGATAGGTCAACATCTCCAAAGTCAACTGCGTTCCGAATATCAGGTTCAGTTCACGCGCGATGCGACATAATTCTAGCTGAAGGTGCCTGTTGGAGAAGATCTCGTCACGACAGAATGTAGAAATCGCGAGAGTATCGTAGAAAAAGGAGTGTATCGGCTCGATTATTTTTCTAATTGGAATAGAGTGTCTTATCGCGTGTTTCGTGTTATTATCAAGTCAAAAATTTATACAGGCGTGCCAGTGTACCGATTTACATTGAGGTCCACAACACTCGCTTATAATTATTGGCATAGGTATGTTGATAAAAAGCAACCACTGGTTTTTTCCACGTACACCTCAAGCCGTACACCTCGCTCACCAGCAGTCCTCGTACATTTTCGTTCAGTTTGTCGAATCTGGTACCTATATACCTGTGTTGCGAAGCATATCTAGAATATTACAGAATGAAATCTGTCCGATCTCGGACGCGTACGGTAAATTTCGACAAGACGAGTACGCAGAGTCATTTTTTTTGTTATTAAACGAAAATATACTGCAGGTATTCTGATTAAATGATCACACGATCGACTAAACGTGGAAGCAAATTATAGTTATTGTGTACAGACCACATGAAGAAGATAAATGTCAAATCCACGAATAGGTTGACGTAATAACAATGATTTAACACATGTGGTATGAGATACGCCCAATTAGACTGCAATACATCTCGCCACCGGAAGGAATCGAAAATATTTATGAAGAGTATGTAAACGACCCATCCAGCTACTACTCGTTTTGACCACATATGCATCTCTTGGTACATTTTTGGAATACCCAATTCTTCCAACGTATCGTCCACAATAGCGAGATTCTTAATGCACGTCCTTAATTTCTGAAACGTTACGTGAGATGCAGTTGAAGAGGGTAGAGTTCACTTAGAAGATATCACTAAGAATTAAATTTAACTTTCTCCTTTGTCGACAATTTCTTCTTTTTGCGAGTTATGTGCTCTTCATCGACAAAGTTTGATTCTCGACAAGCGTTTTTGTTTAGTATCACTTGCATGGGAGAGGTTTTCACTCCAAATAGCATTACGATTTTCGGATGTCGCGCAGTAAACTCGCTGACACGCGAACAGTCCGACATTGTCTTTGCACGATTCCATTACGCGGTCGTACCTTGTCATAACACAGGCCAATGATTACGGACGTGAGCGTAGTGAACATGTTGATCACACTCATGATTATTGAAATGGGTCTTCGAATTATTATGTTCCAAGTAAATATCATTGTTATGCAGTAATAGAAGCAGCCGTAAACGCACCACAGCATCAAAGAATACAACATGCTGAAGCACGGCTTCGCTCGATTCGTAGGATAGTTTCCCAAGCCGATAATAAACCAGGTGACGAGGAGGGGTTTTATGCCTTGTTGGATAATGGTCAATGTGGCCATCGTCTGCCGCAAACTAACAACGAATGTCCGTCGAAACTCTCATTTGCATAGCTCTGTGTTACGTCGACGTCACACGAAAACACGGATCCTCGTAATCACAATATCTTCGTTGCACAAGCACTTACGCATATGAAAATAATTGATCTATCCTGATAAAAGAAATTATTCGTCATTGAAGTCATTCTTCATGCCGTAAATCAAGCGAAACTCATTAAAATACCGCCGCCAACGCGGATATTTTTTGTGTAAACAGAAGCTCTATTAGATAAAAGCTTCTTTATTATCTATTTGGAATAATCATACAGGGTGTTGTGCATACGCAAAAAATTACAATTATTTTACTGAACCTTGTTTTTATTTCATTTGCTTGATTGCAGCTATTATTATGATTGTCGTGAAGCATTGTACAAACTGAAAGAAATTGTCTTATCACACTTAGAATTTTGAAACTTAATATAAATAAATAAATAAATAAATAAATAAATATATATATATATGTATATATATGTGTGTTTCTGTGTGTATGTGTATGTCTGAAATGGACTACGGACCATAAGCATAAATTTGTAGCCGATATTAAAGAATCAGTACACGGAGATCGTTAAAGGCTTTTGCAGTAAATGTAGCAGACATTGCGTAACTGTAAATAATTGCGTAATTAGAAATATATATAGTTTCGCGTAAGCAAGCATTTATACGTCAGAATTGTCTTACGTTTTGCTTAATGTCTGCATCGAGGGTAAGATAATCTGTTGAGAAATACTCCGCCACCCTTCGCCTAATATTAACAGAATTTAATAATTATATAAAAAGTTATATTAAAAAGTTATATATACAAATTAAAATAATTATGTATTTAAATTAAAATATGCAAATTAGAAAGAATAATGATTTTTAAGAGGGAAAGGGTCAGACGGTATTTTATTATATTTTTAAAGTTATATCATTTAACGGTTTAAAAAGTAAACAACAAATTGCCAGTATTACTTAATTGTTTGCAACATGCCTTTCTGTAAAAGGAGTAGAAACACTTTAACACGAAGTTCTTCATAGACGTAATTAAAAGTGAATGTTCTGATGTATTACCTGCAAAATATCAGCGTTATTTTCATCACATCGTAGAGCGCGTTTACATTTAGCGAGTAGTTCTCCGTGTATGGCACACACAAATCGAGTAGCAGTTGAGTTGGCACAATACGATCTTTCT